GCGAATGCAAGCATACCAGTCGAAATCCGGATCTCTAGTAACCTCCCTTTGGCAACAGGCATAGCATGATTGCACGTACACAGTCGACGAACATGCTCCTACAGCAACCTCATGCCGCGCAGCCGCCAGGACATTGAGCGCTCCTGTTCTTGTTCCTTCATTGTCCTTCTCTTGCACCCTCTTCCCACATCGCCAGACGCATGGCGTTACACTACAGTCGCGGAACCAGTCGCAGTGGGGTTTCCCCACCACCGTCAGCCCATCAACAGCTCCTCCTCTTGCTTCTTCTCCTTCTGCTACCCCGTGGACCCTCAGATGTGGGCACATATACTGGCAGTGCCTATACCCGGGGGAGCCTTCATCATAGTGTTTGCGGCAATACTCATCGCAGTTGCCCCGTGACAGTGCACCTGCAGCAGCCTCATGCTGCACCACCACCATTGGGACATCAACCACTCCTCCTCTTGCTTCTTCTCCTCCGGTTCCTCCAAGGGCCGCCAGCCATGCGGCGTCCGGCATATTCTCAGCGTAGCAATCATTGACGCATTGGTTGTAGTCCAATTCTGGATGTTCACGGCAAGCGTCGTAGCACCAGACTGGGTCGCTCAAACGGACGGTGGCGTCCCCTTGCTTTGTCTTCTCTTCTTCCTCCCGTCCAACGCGTTTCGTCGGCATCTCCAGGAGAACAGCTGGCCCTCCAACTCCACCACTTCCTCTTGCTTCTTGTTGTCCTGTCACCCTGTGGGCCGCCAAATGCCAATTAGTTGTAACTAGTATAATCAAAACAAAGCAAAAAATTTGATCCTGGCGACGCATGAACAGATTCAGCAAGCCTCACACCCACGCTCACAACATGACTGTTATTATTTTTGGAAAGGAAACGAGCTCATGATGAACACACGCAGAGCAGTACCGTACTACCTACCTCCCGTACAAGCACTCGTTGTAACACGGTCCGAAGTCCGACTGCGACCGGCCTTTGCACAAGGCGGAGCAGTAGGCTGCATCCCCATGCTCTTCAGCCAATTGCCCGGCTCTCGCACGACCTTCACTGCCCGCCGCGTCGACGACGAGCAGGGCTATGCCCAGGACTACACACCACACAGCAACGCCAGGGCTGCTGCGCTTCTTGTTGGAACACATACCCATGGCTAGCTGGTTGGTGTTGAACTAATTTGCTACGGCTCACAAGCCTACCCAAGATGGATGGATTGAGTAGATGGGCACACGAATATATAGATAGGCCGGAGAGGGCAGCTAGCTAGGCTGGGATGACCAACCGATCTGATCCGAACCGGCATCTGCGTGCGTGCAATGCATGTGCATAGCTGCAGGAATCACACATCCACTTGCTTGAAAATCTACTACGTATAGTACCACTTGCTAGATCATTAGATTAAAGAAATGTTTGCATGTAGGGGCAATTGATGCGGCGTGTAGATCGATCAGCACGTATGAGCGTCCTTGTTTGACCGCCTGCATGTTGCAGATGCCACCTGCGCTGTTGCGCCCCGTGTTTCTTAGTGCACTGGATGCGTTTGTATATCTGTATTTGTTAGTGTAGAGGATGTGTTTGTATAGCTGGATAAGGCTGTCCGACATGCGAGCATCATAACTAGTATCTATCATGCACGTCAACTAAACAATTTTCAATTTTGATGAGGTGACATAGAATTAAATATAAAAAAGCGAAGGTTGAGTATCATATTGTGACACCATGTCATAATAAATATTATAGTACTATATATGTCTTGCGTGGCAATAAATAAGGTCATTTTAGATATTAATCTATACAAACTTATGATACTACCCAGCCTAAGATTATTTTGCTTTTATGTACGCCAACAAAGTAGCCCGACCAATTGGGCGTGCAGCCTCTTTAATTGTCTATATGCTATATGATTTTCTAAAAGAGAAAAAGACACTGGCCGAATCCCTAGAGGAGGTTTAACCAAGGACCACTTTCAATTAACAAAGCCATCAACTGGCCAAAACTACAAGGGAAACACAATACAGAGAAAATAAAAGCAAAGCGGAAAAAAACAGATAAAAGGAGTTAAACACAACAACCCAAACGCAACAACAACAATGAGAAAAACCACATGGCACTGTTGCCAAGGCCAGCATTGCACCAACACCAACTAACAAACTTAGGTGTCGGGAGGAGGGCACCACCATGCAAGCATCATGCGGCCGACTACATCCAAAAGGCCAAAAACGCGAGCAACACACAATATGTCTCTGTTGCCGCAAAAGGCCATCACCTTTTCACCCACACTCGGTGTGTGCCGCACTGGCACTTGGAAAAGTGGTTCCCACGAGAACCCATATCAAGGTGCCCAAGCTGATAAAGGACAAGCAATAGGAGCACACCTATAGTCATGGATAACCAACCATATGAGCACTGTCACCGGTAGCGGCAGTACAGAGCATCAACGAGAGTTGTCGAATGATGGAGCATATCCACGAAGAATGCGGAAGAGGGCATCATCATGCATCGATCGAAGCACCGAGAGACGAGCAGGTGTAGCCGATACACCAAGCCATCCTATACAGACGTCCATGAGCCTTCGCATATGATTAGAACCACTGTGACATCCTAATTGTGAGGATTAGAGGATTTATGTCAAGCTCTAATTCATGAACTAGGACCAACTAGAACTATAACTAGAGAACTAGAGGAGGCTCTAAAACTTGTGTGTTCAAAAGTGCCAAATCCTCTGGTATATATAGGTTGAAGGGGCGGGAGAGGGGGCGCCACAAGGGGAAGGAATTCATCCCCCTTTGGCCGGCCAAGGAGGGGGGAATCCCTCTCTAATTCGGCATCCCCTTGCCCTTTCCATGGGGAGAAGGGGGCGCAATCCCTTTTTGCCGCAAGTAGCCGAAGTATCCTACCACCACCACTTGGCCTTTTAAGGCTCATTGATAATAAATTAAATATCAAAGCCTCCTAAAATTAAGAGCCTTTTTATTAATTTAACATCACCAGAAACATTTTTCACCTATATACTCGGAGTATTATTTATCAAAAATACCTGGTGTTGCCCGATAAACTCCTAAACCCTTCCGGTGACCCCGGAACGCTTCCGGTTCCTCTCGAAAACTATTATGAATATTACCGAAACTATTTCACAAATATATTCTCATTATTCCCATCCTACTAACACTTAGCAGATCATGATTACCTTAAGTTTCTGACGCTATAGGTACGGTAAACATTAACATGAACAAAACTCTTTCGTTGGATGACAGATAGCAGAACTGTAGACATTCATACCAATCCCTATGATTCCAGGAATGACATTCACACTAGTGGAGATAAGTCTATCTATGGCGTGCCAAAAACATCCTTGCTGACGTAGACACACAACGCCACTAATATGGCTCCATTACTAAAATGTAGTGGTGGCGTTCGAGGACACGCCAGCATCATCCTACATCTTGTTGGCGTAGCACCAGTCCAGCGCTAGCATTAAGTTCATCATAACTCTGGCGTGTCTGCTCGTCCAACACCAGCAAATGGTATTTTTGTAATAAAATAATTTTACTCATCAGCACTAGCTACTTAGTTAAGAGATACTACTGAACACAATATACTCATGAACACTACGTACTTACTTAATAGATAATCATTACATAAGAGGCTCATGACCTCAACAAGTTGATATTAAACTTCACAAAAGTTCACTCAATAAGTACTCTAGTTACTCGATCATCATCAACTATTAAGATGAACTAGCTTGCTACTTAAAAACTAATCTTCATCAAGGAGTATGCCCAGCTGGATAAGCTTCTTTCTATCCGCCTCTCCTTCTCTTTTGAAATGATCTATGTCCATATTCAGGTTAATCCTCTCAGCCTTGAGGCATCTCCTCTCCTCCTTCGGTTTATCCCGATCTTCGACGAGCTTATCCCTCTCGTCCCTAAACTAATTAGTCTCCTGAACGTGCCGAACAACATCCTTACGTAGCTCTTTAATCTCCCCCTTTATATCGTAATTTGCCCCTTGCACGCTCTTAATGACATAATCAAAAGTGTTTAAGAATTCATTATTGGCCATGTCCACATCACGCACCAACTCCTAAAACACAAATTAACACTCCATGTTATAACAATTGATTTCCAACAATATTATCTCAAAGCATAACAAATAAGTTTGGGTCAATTCAATATGATCGTTCTTCTAGTGTCATAACACTTGAGCCAGTCTTAGAGGCAAAGCTAGGAACCTGATTTCATTGTTTATCATTTCACATGTGCATATGAGTTTTCCACTGAATCACATATTCCAGGATCATTACAGTTATAACATAGAATATAAACTCTTAATTAAGAACATGAAAATATAATAATACAATTTTATTGCCTTTAGGGCATATATTTCCGACATAAACGCCACTGGTTGGTAAGACCCACGTGACTGTCAGTACTGAGGCTTTTAGCATGGCGCTCTCGTACTTGGATGAAAGAGTTTAAGAACAGTTGTACGAGCCGACGTATCAAAATCATAGGGGGTGCCAAGGGAAGATTGGCGGCCCCGATGTAGGCTTTATTTTTTCCCACAAGATATACGGCAATTATTTCAAAAAAGGATGTTTCAAATATTTTCACACAGATTCCACATTAAAAAAAGTGACTTCAGTTATTTCACAATGGCAGACTTCTATCATTTCGAAATAGAGATTTCAATTATTTCACTAGAGTTTGATTCCAAATGATTCATATTTCACAAAAGTAATTTCAATTATTTTCAAAAAAGAATAAATTTGAGTTATTGCAAAACAATGATTTCAATTATTTCATTATTTACAATAAAAAGATAAATTTTGAGCTAGATAAAATATGACTGAAACTATGAAATGAAAATGAGGTGGAAATGTATTCAACATTGGTCTTATTCTGACGGTCATGTCGCACAAATTTAAGTTGTGGTAGTCGAAGAGAAAGTCATTTTTACTTTATTACATTTAACAGCATGAAACAGATAATATATATTCTCCTCAAATGGAGATGCTGGTTGGAACGCCCATTCCCATCACTGTTTTGGCACCCATAGGATCACCATCCGATGGCCTTAGCTGCACATACGGCACCATGCCAGGACCATACCGGTTTTTCCGCTCGGGGTCCATGTTCCACTTGTTGACCTGCACCCCGATCCTCAACATCCTCTCCCTGAATTCGTCCTCGAACGCCTTGTTGATCTTGCCATTCTGTTGCCACGCCGGCTCTTGGTACATGGCCAAGTACTCCTCACCCGATGAGTGCGATGAGAGGAGGTCCAGTATCGCCATCACCATGGCACTCTGATACTGGGAAGGGAATGTGTCTAGCAGCACCTTGTCCGGCGCCTCCATGAACACGCGCATGCCATCGGGGCCCATATCTGATGGCATGTTTATGCGGGCAATGGAGGGGCGGTTTGGGACGTACCCACCAAATGGGTACTGACTGAAGTTCACGGCGGCGTGATGCGCCGACGCCACCCACATGATGGTGGATAGGGTTTGGACCAAGCTCTCGTGGCAGTCGAGGTGCGGCCACCATAGCTCATCCTGCTTGTGCGCATGGCCTTTGGTGCGCACCTCCTTCCACCAAGCCTGGAGCTCCACGTCGTCGGTGATGTCCGCCGCGCATGGGTAGTAGTATGCCACGTAGTCGGACGCCCACTGCTTGATGGCATCCAGGGGCGGAGCTGGAGCTAAAGTTACCCTGATGCACCACTTTAATAGTATCCCTTTAACATTGCATAAATTTTAAATCAATAATGTTCCAACTTAAAAATAAGAGTATGTTTTATAACTTTTGGTTTAGATTATTAGATTTAGTAGAAGACAATTCTTTAAATACGAAAAGGTAACAATTATGCTTATACTACAATAATGAAACAAAGGACTGGATTACTTGCAAATGGAGTCCTGCATTTCCAAATTCAAAAATACATCATGTCGTCATCAAAGACCACGGGTCCGTAGCCTACATGATGACTTAAATTTTTCAAGAAAAACATAGTGGAATGTACAAATGAAAGTAATTAAATATATTTACATTACCTTTCAGTACATTTTTGTCCACAACTTATGTTTCTTGGAGCAGATATCATGATGGGTTTCTCTTGAGAAGAAGCTTGCCCATAGTATACCTGCATTTGAAAAAAAAAATATACATGGGACGTGGAAATAACCTAAGCGAATAAAGTACATCATAATTCTATATATTTTTTGATCAATACATGAGAGTTTCAGTATGTTCAGGATAGGATTACAGTCAGCATTGAATCTGCCATAGACGCCAGAAATCTGGCAACATGACCCTAGCTAGCTAGTGCCTAGGTTCTGCAAAAACTTGCGTATTTAAATTGACTACAAGTTCATACAAATCACACAAGAATTGTGAATAATCGTTGCAAAAACCATTTAGCAAAAGATAGATAGACGAGGGTGCTACCGGGGCAGAATTGTTGTCCGATGCTATCTTCATCTGCCTCCCGCCTGGGCTATGCGACTGGTCGTGGCGTCGCCGTGGGTGTTGCGGTGTGCCGCCGTCGATCGGCCTTGCCGGCTGAGTGCTTGGGTGCGTGCCGGAGAACGGAGCAAACAAATCGATCGATTTGCGTGGGGACTGAGGAACGTGGGGCGTGGCTGCGTACGGATCTACAGGGATTGGCCGCTGTACCCGCCATGATATGCGCAGAGTCGTACTTCTTTTTTTTTAGTTGAATCCTACCTGTGCGGTTGCGTACAGGTTTAGAAGCACAGCGGACCAATCGATTGAATCGGTCGACACACACGAACGTGCGGCCTGGCCACGCGGCCGGAAACTTGGGCCCTGATGCACCGGTCATGGCCCAACCTGATGCACATGGCCATTTGAGCTGATAAGTAGCAGTAATAAAAAACTGGACCCGTATTCCTGTGCATCAGGGTAGGCCCATTGGGCTCCGCCCCTGATGGCATCCCAGACCAGCAGGCCATCATTGGCGTATGGGTAATCCTCTATTGCCAGCTCCAGCTTGCCATCCTCTCCTCTGACCGCCATGCCCCTCCGGATGAGGTCCTCTGGCAGCGCCTCCTTATCGAACCGCCACTGCTCGGCGTAGGCCGCCGAGCTGATCTCCATGGAGTAACTTCCCCGGTGAGAAGGTGCTCTCGATGATCCCATCGGCGTTGATGAGCAACTTGCGTGCCTGTGCATTGATCTCCATGGTGAAGCGGAACGATGGGTGGAGCAGCCGGTAGATGGGGTGCATCTGGCTCAGCTGCCTGTTCGCGGCGATGATGTATGGCTCGACACAGCAGTGTGTCCTCAGCCAGTGGCTGACAAGCTGATGGTAGCCAGTGTCGAGACACAGGACATGGGCCTTGGCGAGTTGCCACTGCCAGGACCCGGTGATGCTGGCTTCGTGTCCTGACGCCGGCATGAAGACCTCACGCCACTCTGGCATGTTCGCAGACTTGGGTCTCGTAAGCTCGATGGCGATCGGCCGGAGCGTGCCATCGCCAGCCAGGAAGAAGAGCGCACGTGCCCCGTACAAGGTCGTGCCCTCGAGCTGGCGCACTTTGTTGACAAATGGAAGGTACAAGTCGTGGTAGTCCAGCATGAACAGTTTCTTCTTAGCCATGGCCTGCATGCATCAATTATTACTACGATATGCTCTTCAACCATATCTTTGGACTTTGGTGATATATTGCTAATACGATCTCACCTCCTCAGCTGTCATGACACCGTTGATCTGCTCTTCAATCAACTCTTTAGTTATCAAGGAGTCCGCCGGGCCGTAGATTTTCTCGTCCAGCTTGCTCACCAGAGGCAACTCCTGCATACATAGCTTTACTCATGCATGGCACCATATGCATCTATCTATATGTACTACTCTAGATGATATCGGATTGGTTCATATAATATATCATTTGATGAGATTTGGTTGTATACAGATGGGACATAAATATGCAAATTTATAGTATGCATGCGAACTCAAACTGAAAAAGACATATAATGAGTTCGACTACTAAAATAATTATTCGATACGGTGACATAATTGAATGGAAAGCCTTTTATCATGAGGAGGTTTTTCAGGCATTTTTGAAAGTTGAGATGGCATGTTTGTTTGGGTGTTGACGGAAATACGTAGGTGGAGATCATCCACTTAGAGAAGAAAGTGTTGTTCCAATTTTTTGAAGTATCGGCGGGCGACTCGGGACGGATCAGCCGCCGCCGCCACCTAGTCCCTCCAGCGCCCTTCACCCCCTCTGGCGCTGCCGATGGTCCGCGCCGGGCAAAGCTCGTGCGTGCCACGGCGGCGGCGAAGGGTCTCTCCTCCCGTTCCCAGACCCATGGCGGCGCAGGCGTCCGGGTCCGCAGGGTGCGGCCCTCCCGTCGGTGTGGTAGATCCCGAAGGCGGCGGTCTCGTGGCGGTGCACAGGTGGCCAGATCCAAGGGTTTGGGTCTCGGGGCAGCGTGCGGGCTCCATGCGGCGGCGGGATCGGTCAACGGCGGGCTTGGGCAATGGTGTTAGCTGCGTGGTGCCGGATCTCATCGCTCGTGGCAAGTCTCGCCACTCCGGCCTTCATGGAGGAACCTGGACCAGGGGCGGCGACCCCTTAGGCATGGCGATGGCGCCTTGGCTGGCGACATTCGCGGGGAGGTGGATGGACGGCGTCTTTACCTCGTGGGCGGTGAGTCGCCGGTGGATCTCCCCCGCGATGCAGGCTCTCTCCCATTGCAATTGGTGGCTTACGATCGCGTTCGTCGGCCTCGGTGCGTTCACAGGGGCTGGTAGAGGTGACATCGGACCGAAGAAAACTCTTGATGACTCGTTCATCCCGATGGTGGCGATGACCAGGGTCGCCGTTCTCCTCTTTGCAGGCGCCGTCGAGGTCCGTGCCCTCCACCCCGACCCCATGCCAGGGTGAAAACCTTAAATCTCCTTAGATTGGGCAGCAGCAGCACTGCGTGTTTCGTACCCTTCTTGGAGGCGCCGCCTGGGGCGTTTGGGTGCTCGGTTTGAGGAACTGCGGGCGGAGGGGATGGGACCAGTGGCAACAGGTGGTGTTTCGCTTCGGAGGAGCGGCGTGGCATCTGGCACGTCGACAATGGCGGGTCTCAGCCGCATGGAGCAGCGGGGTCTTGCTAGTGGGCGTGTGATGATGGTCGAGCGCAGGATGGTGACATTGTCTGGCGTCGTGGTGGCGTCGACGACTGCTAGACCGGGCAAGGTAGATGCAGCAGTTCAACACTGAAGATGGATAGGTGGCACGTGGCTGTGGCGGCCTCATACTCGGCAGGCGTCCTGGTTGAGTAGTGCGCCGGATTGGTGGGTGCCCCATACCCGGCAGGCGTCCTGGTTGGGAACTCAGGTCTTAGATGTTAGGTTTGGCTGCGAGGTCTGTTTGGTATTAGGTCCAGACTATCAACATCCCTACATCAACTGAATAGGAGTAGCGACAGATGTTGCCTAGACGGTGGCTTTAATCGTACTATTGTATGACTTTGTAAGGTCTTGTGTGAATAATTAATAAAGTGGTTACATGCATCATTTAGATGCAGAGGCCGGGGGTCCTCCTCCTTTTCTAAAAAAAATCCACTTATAGAATACGGTGATGATCCATCAGATATATAATTCGATGGTGCAGTGAAGGCTAGAAACAAGGTACCTACCCTAACTAGTTGGATGCTCAGTGGGTTCACCCCGGCACGGGTTTCACACGCGAACTCCTCGTCTCTGAACCAAGCAAACTTGTCCCCTACATTTGTACGTATGTCGTGTGAGTAGATTCACATATCTTTTTTGGACTGCGTGAGCACAAATGAGTAAGAGTGGTTGCTAAAACACGTAGCAGCACTCAATCTGTACGTACTATTTCAAACTTGAAGACTCTGCGTATCCCCTCCAGAAACTCTGCCCCTTCCTTCTCAAAGAGAAGAACCGCCTCCTTCTCAAGAAATTCGGCGATACATTTGAACTTTCCACAATCTGGCTGCACTGGCTGGTTCCTGAACTCATCATCGTACATCGCGTTGATGGCCACCAAGTCGGGGAAACTCTGGCTACTATGTTTTGATGACTTCATAATCCTGCATATCCCATGGAGCACTGACATGAACAACTTTGTGTTGAATGCTGCCTCCTTGCGCTCCGTGAAATTCTTGTCCTCAGGAACAAAAAAGGATACCCCGTTGGGTGGTCTCGTCTCCGATAAAGGATCTGCACACAAGATTTATTCATTCATCTACTGATATTATATAGTGAAGCGGTTGCGACTTGGAGAGGTAGTAATAATACTGTACATTTCCAGCAGTGAGGACGTCCCGTGCGGCAGCGTCGTGGGTAGGGGTGCTCCTTGCTGCCGAGTACAGGCCGATTGGTGCTTTTGTCTTGGCAGGGGTCCCCAAGGTCGTTGTACACGTCGTAGTCGTAGATGCGATCGTATGCCTTGCGTTCGCCGTAGTCGGTGCCACGAAGGGCCACCAACTCGCTCTCGCGCAGCCTCTCCACGCCCTTGGGAGTCTGCGACGGGAGGTACGAGTGCTGCACCGCGGCACCCGCATGTAAATGGTAAGCTAAGGGCTCGCCGCACGTATCTGCTTCCTACTTAGTAGTGTGTGTTTATAAAGTAAATCCAGTCACGGCGAAGTGTAATGAACACCAACCGACCTCGAGAGGGAAGAAACTACGCTTTTCAGGGCTGTAGTGTGAGGGGTTAATCCAGGAGTTGCAGTGGAATAATGCAACGGCGGACGACCCAATGTTCTCCGTGTAGTGTTAGTTCATCACTTGCACGGCGCCGATGGGGCCGAATGATGCCGGTACCATGAAGCTAGCATCGTACATGTGCCAGCCCTTCTCCAGGCTCCTTGAGTACTGGACTTTGCCGGAGACTACATCCCACTCTTGTCCTGTTTCTGCATAGATATAGCCCAGACTTGTTTAAATTTGACCAACTCTATGAAAACACACCAATATCTACAAAGACAATGAGAGAGAGAGAGAGAGAGAGAGAGAGAGAGAGAGAGAGAGCATGCAATAGAAGAGAGAGGGGAGGTTTCTCACTTGGATCCAATTCGGAGCTAACGAGCTCGAGGTACAACTAATTTTTGGTAAAGAAATTGTGGAACCCATCTATCACCCGATCAAGCATATCGTCTTTTAACCAGAAATTTTCCATGTTTACCGTCACAGTGGCCCTGAGCTCGACGGTCTAGTTAAGGTCAAAGTGGAGGTCAGGGCGGGCAACCGTGCTGGTGGCCGGCCCATTGGCTTCGGATAAGTTGGTGCTGGTGGCGGCGGTGGTGGTAGTGCTGGTGGTGCTGCTGCCTACTTTTGAGGTGCGGCGAGTACTGCCCGATCGCCGATGAGCCTCTGGCACCAGCACCACCCGCCGGGCAAACGGAGCACCATGTGCACCTACGAGAGGCCTTGTTGTCGTTTGCATGATAACCATGCATACTTTCTACTCCCTCCGTTCCTAAGTATTTGTCTTTCTTGAGATTTCAACAAGTGACTACATACGGAACAAAATGAGTGAATCTACACTGTAAAATATGTCTATATACATCAATATGTGGTATTGCATTTGAATCTCTAAAAAGACAAATATTTAGGAATGGAGGGAGTAGTGTGCAAGGGAATGGAAAGGAAGGGATGTTGTATTTATAGAGATGGAACAAGCGTGATGTTTGTATGTATGTATGTATGTAGCAGGGGAGCACATGTATAGATTTCCTTAAATAAATAGATACAAAAATTCTGGGCCCCGGACGTCGAGAACATTTCTATGGACGGTAGTAGTAGTATCTTGCATTATTGTGTGCGCATGCAAAATGTCGTGTGGTGTGTGTCTCGGATCGATAAGATATGTGAGTGCATAAACGTCCAGTGTTGTTCTTTTGGCTGGGTTCCAGCGTCGATGCAGACCTAACAGCTGGAGGCATGCATTTCCGCAAAAAAAAAAAAAATTAACAGCTGTAGGCATGCAGCCCTTGGCATCCCCACAACGATAAGGGAATGCATGTATGCTTCCAAATATTTTGAAGTGCTTGAGCATATCTAGCAGTTCTTTGATAACAATTCCCTATTATGGCCCCCTCAGAAAATTATTGAGATTTGTAGGTATGATGTTGTCCCAGATCCCCAATAAACGCATAACCAATACCAAATTTAACATATGGGTCTCACTTTTCAATGAGATATCTTT